TACATACATACACATATATACATACATACATACATACATATATAACAAGGGTTTTAAGAAGAGAGAAGAAACATGCACGTTTTTTTAGATATAGATAAAAATAGCATAGTTTTCCTAATCCTTATTTGTAATGGGCCATAAATATGCAATGGGGCATAAATATGCAATAAACTACATTGTCATTGTCATTGACTGTAACTGGCCATGGTATGCATTAGACTGTGGCATCATTAGACTAATTTGTATCGTAGTATCGTAAGAATTAACATTATTAATTTAATATATAGACGTATATAGCACTAGTACTGTGCGACAGTACATTGACAACACTGCATATATAGCTATATGGCGAAGTCAGTATGTGTTGTTTAATTCAGCTTGTGACAACATAAAGACAGGATCTCAAAATAGAACGATATCCTGTAAGCATCGATTCTTCGGACGAGCAGAAATGAGCACAATACTAGTATCACTTTGATTTTTACCTTTGCAAAGAAGGTTATGTTTTCAGTGCCGTTTGTACGTATGTCTGTCTGTACACATGTGGATAATAACTCGAGAAGGTGTGCATAAATTAGTAGCGTTTATGATAGGTTTTTAGTTAGCATAATAGTACTAGTTGTAATGGGTAAACATAGTTTTCGACTGTATGAGATCGCGGAATTCTAGTTTAACTGTGTCGATTTCCGAATTGAATGTGGCAGTCGTGGAATTTTTATCATTGTCACAAACGTGTAGAAAAAATACACATTCAAGTTTCAAGTTTATTTTATTTAACCAGGATATAACTCAGATCTACCGATCTGCTTTTCAGTTATTCCTGGGAACTCAAGCCAAGGTACATTTAAAAATACAGTATATCACAGAGAGAAAAAAAAATCACAATGACGTTACATTACATCACAATCAATTACATATAAATCACAGTGTGCACTGCTACAGTTACGACCCTTACATGCATGGACACTCCAAAGGCAAACCTGGAAACATTCAAAGGGAGTTTGCAATATCAAGGGCCACTAGTGTGGAATAGACTAGCTGTTGACAAACGGCAAATAACATCAACGTCTGTGTTCAAAACCAGACTGTGAAGGGACCGGTTTACTGAATGTGACTGTAACACATATTTTGTGAGTATTTTTCATAGAGCTACTGGTATTAACTGTTAAAAATCAAGACTGATTTTTAACCTCCGGGATATAACCTCATTACAGCAGTAATGTACACTGTGTGGTAGTAAACATGGAAAATTAATTTTTCACGTCTATTCTGCGTAAAATTAAGTTGAATATTCGCATGGCAGCAACTCATATTGCCAACCCCATAGCTGTCAGCTTTGTATATACATACCTGTTTGACCGGAAATTGGCGCCACAGCGCTCTGATGTTACCAACCATGTTTACAAACCCGGAGTACACACAGGTGAGCACAGGTATGGATATAACGACACGTCACCAGACACGGGCGTCCTGCAACGATCAGTTTGACAGGCCGTCAGCACTTGGAATAATCTTATGATCCGATCATACGATGCGCGGTCTTTCCTCGACTGACGTTTAGTCCTAAATTTGTCAAACGCAGAGAAGTGCAGTTATCGCTGCCGATCTGACATCACAGAGCGCCGTCCAACATCCTGGATGTAACGATCCGTGTGATTGGACCACACCCATGCCATAGGTTGGTTTTTAACAAGGAGGTTAAAAATCAAGAGGCTTGAATTTGTTACCTCCTTGGTTGGGAAGGACGTGCCTGTCCTGGAAACCAGTAACTAGTACAATCTAGTCAACCGCAATGTTAAGTGTTGTTCTAAACTGCTTTAATTTCGGCAATACAGTATTGAATAGATCATCGATCATACAGCCTCCTATATTTCTACAATTAGTAAAGAGCCAGAGGAAGTCGAATGTACTAGAGTATACTAGAAGTTTATATATACACGTTCATGTATATGATTGCCAACATGTGACCTGTATAGTTAACCCTGTGGGGCAAAAATGTACAATAAAAGTCTTCTTTCATTATTATATGGGGGTAAAGGAAAACCCCCACTATCCAAAATTTATGCGTATGGACACGAGTTACCCTCATTTGTGGTAACCAAGATGTACACGGATATACCCCTTCGGGTACTCGCGCCCTACCATCGCTTGGGTACCAGGTATAAACTTCTTGGTCACCGCAGCACATCCACTGGATAGGTATGCTGTTTTGTACCTGTGGTCATGATCATCGCGTCTTACAACTGATTTATGTAAAGTTCGTTTTATCAGATCTGGAAAGCAGCGCAAGCGTTCTGTATGTGATGAAAAAGAAATCCGGTTTGTACCTGAATTTTCCAAGAAGAGTTGTATGCAAGAAAGTACACTTATCTATGTAGGAGTTTTCTATTTGTTTGTTTCGCCGTCAAAGTTTGTGACGTGATTCTCATTAACATAACAGTTTACCTGCCAGTGACGTCATGCATATGGCGGCTCATCTGCCGATGATGTGCAGTCCCACAAAAGTTCGCTACTACGGTCCCTACGGTTCCGGACTGTTTTTCTGGGTCTACCAAATGCTGAGGCAGCAAGCGCTATCCTCCTCCTAATAATTAATCTATTTGAAATGGTCACCAAAATGTTCCCTAGCTTTATTCACCTTCCCAGCCTACAAAAAACTGCATTTCTATTAACACCTCCCAATTCATATATCTCGCAAAATGTCGCTCCACTGCACACGGAAATCAAGCCCAACAATAACTACAAATTTGGGGACCTTCTTAAAATTGCTGTGGGGTCGTGTGGCGTAACGGTAGAGTGTCCGAATTGACTCGGAACCAGGAGGTCGCGAGTTCGAACCCTGCCATGTCACCAATCTTGTGCCATTGGGGAAGGCATTTAACACGACTTTCCCCACTTCGCTCAGGTGAAAATGAGTACTGCATTGTCTTCTATGCTGGTGGCAGTATAAAAATAAGTTGAAAAAATTGAGTCTTGTGATGACATATTTGGAATAGAAAAAATATATATGTACAAAAAAACGCTGTGTTTTCTATCATATGACTTTATACAAACTTGTATTTAGCTTAGTTGTGATAGAAGATACGAAAATCCTTTTGTCACGTGAATGAAGAATCTTTTACTAAATTTTAGTAAATTACTAAATTTCTGCAAACGTACCATAGTTCTTTAGTGGTAATTGATGAGAATTACATTCTTGCGACATAGTAGTTCAGTTAGGGATGATTATTGCCATGTATGGATATACGTACATTTCCCCAACATTAGCATAACAAGGAAATGTTCGAATAAGCATATAGCAAAATGATAAAATGATAGCACTTTCACACGTTTGTGTAACTTTGGTGTAGGAAACATTTCAGAGATAAACATTACACCAAATAGAATTTATTTGCACAATTAATAAAATACAATAACGCAAGACATTTACAAAGTTCTAAAAATATCATCTGTCTTTGATAAAAGAGAAGCCATACATGAAGCATCTGGAATTTAAAAAAAAAGACATCAAATAAATTAATGGAGAAAAACAGCTTTCAAGAGATCTTTGATCCCTTCAAACGATTTGCAACATTAATATTCATATCCTTCTAGAAAGGAGGTATTTGATTGTCTGCCTCTTTCAAATATATAACAATCCCTGGTTAAAACATACAACACCGTATATACCGTGTTATTTACAAAATTCACATCTACAGTTGCTATTTGGTGCCATTTAGGTACTTCTGTTTACGTACATGAGACTTTGGACAAGGTTGGGTTATAAAATCACCCAATTATTTGAGCAAAGGTAAACTATCAGCCTTGAGTCTGCTACTAACTGCTAATTTTAATTTTAAAGCGATTACATCAGTATGTACCTGGCTAAGACAGTATACAATGTTGTTCCTCTCCAAGACACTTTTAAAATGTCGACACAACAGATATATTATTCTCATTTTCTTCTTTTCCTTTTTGACTGGTTTAGGCCATTTGTATTGTTTTCCAACATTTTTTTCTCAATTTACTGCATTTACATGTATTTTCTCACTTGGCAGGTGCCTTTTCCAATTTACAGTATGGTCCAAAATATGTTGTTGTTTTTTTTTGGGGGGGGCGACAGGACGAAAATTCATGCACGCCTGGATGTCTTCCATTTGCTCAAATCAACATGGCCTATCAGTAGCGGGGGAACACAACGATTGTGTCTCTGCTGGCCACAACTAACTGTCCTCCTGGCCCAACTGCAACCCCCACCGCAGTGCAGTATTCCGCAGGTCGTCGGGGGATGGCGATGTCGCGGACATACGCGCCCCGGCCCGAGTACATCACGACACGCTCGTTGCATGTGTCCACCACCAGGACGTGACCGGAACTGTCCGTACAGATGCCCTTGGGACGATCCAGGCGGTCGCCACCATGTCCCGGTCCTCCGAACTTCGTGACGTACTGTCCGGTCGTGTTGTACACGTAGACGTAGTGACGGCCGTAGTCGGAGACGTAGACGTACCCTTCTCCGCTGACGGCGATGTTCCTCGGTGTCTTCATCCCCTGCCGCGGGCTGACGTCCCACATGGCTTTCCCATCAGGCTGCAAGGCTTGCACACCGCCACTTGGACCGATAGACCAGGTGACAAAAACGTGCGAGCCCACGGCCATTCCGCGGGATGCCCCCCATGGCACGGTGTTAGGGAGGTCGAACCTGGCTTTGAGATCACCCTCCCTGTCGAACTGGACGACGCTGTCGACGCTGGTAGGGTACCCATTTATCAAGATCCATATGTGCCCATCTCTGTCGATGGACACGTCAACCGGCGTCTTTCCTGGGCATCCCAGCCCTGGCGCAGCTTGCGGAAACTGGTGCAGAAATGCACCTTCCATGCTGTAGACCTGGAGGCGCGATTGGTACGCATCGGCCACCCAGATCTTGTTGTCTGGGGACACTGTGACTGCGCATACGCCGCGCAGGTTTCCAGGCCCCGACGCATTACCAAAGGTGATGACCCGTGCGCTGCTGATTCCGACAGGCACTTCTACAGCAACATAAAATAAGGAGCTTTGTCACAAAACGCCTTCCTTACTTACAATGTAGCCTCTACAAGGCTTCTGGAAGCGGCTGGTAGAAGTTGGAATTCGCCAGTTAAGTCGGGTAATGTTTACTCTAAAATTAACATTACTGAACTTGACTTTTACTAACTATCATTGCTATTTCAAAGTTAGGCACTGTTTGAAAGGTAAATATTGCCGAACTTAACAATTACTGCATTTTACTACCATTTTTTTGCGCAGCAAGACGTATGCTGCTGGACCTTTCCCTGACGTGTAAATATGTAACATCTTACATGTGAAGTTTCAGCCTCCTATAAGAAACAAATAAACGGTAAGGGAAATAACAGAAACCTGCTAGCCTCTACAAGGCTTCGGAAAATCAGCCGGAAAGAGTAGAAATTGGCCAAATAGACAGATAACATACCAGTGGAGTTCGTCAAATCTCTAAACAGATGTTTTGGTGGATGCAAAGACAATATCAAATTGGCCAGACTGTATCCACTTGCCAGGCAGTTATCATTTCGCCACTTATTTCATTTTCACATTTCTTGGGTGGCGAAATGGTAACTGCCTGGAAAATGGATACAGCCTGGCCTGTCTTAGCAGCAAGCAAAACGTCTGCTTGGAGATTAGAGTTCGTCCGCTAAATATCTAGACTACAGAGCGCCGTTCCAATTTCTACATGTTCCAGCCGCTTCCAGACGCCCGGTACAAGCCAGAAGCCTGCCACGATCATAGCCTGGATGCCAGACCCATAGCACGCTAAACCCAGAGTTATAAGCCAGCATCAGGGCCTAACTGAGGAGGGCTGTGGTATGATTTCCTTGGGGGATGTTGACCCTGCCCTGGAAACAGTCTGGCACCCAGGCTACCACGTTCAGTAGGTAATGACTTACCTTTAGTGTCCACGGAAAGCGGCATGGTCATGGTGGCTTGGGTAGGCCCTTCAGTTTCCACTTTCGCAGGCACTGCGGCAGGAGGGCTGCTCCCGCGGGCCGGATCGACCTGTTTGGCAATTATTTTACAAAAGTTCAAATTCTGGATACATCACGAGAATATTGAAATGAAATGAAATACCTTTATTGACTTTGAATATTGTAAATTCATGCCACGACGGGCTAGGTACAGGTAAAGACTTAACAGACACATAACAAACGCATGAAGAAAAGTGAAGACAAAAGATACACCACGTGACTTAGACATACATGTACATGCATAGGGAACATGCAAGGGTACAAAGTGTTCTAGCTACTGAGCTAATACAGAGTGGTCAACTTCTTCTCGTTTTTTTGTACAATGGAAAATGTGGGAACAGATCATGTTTGTGATACAGGGTTTGTCTAGACGCATCATAAATTGTGCAGCACAAAACTTCAAAGTGTTCACAAAAGTGATATTACAATGTATTTCGGATCCACAATTTGTCTGAGCATTTTGGGATATCATAAGATACATAGGTCTGTTTTTACCTTTTTTTTCCGTTGCTTCATATTTTTTCTGAAAAAAAAAATCCGAGAACCAACAAATCAAATTGGTGTGGCCTAATCAGACAGGTACTGACCATGGTGACGTCAGCCAACGTCACAGTCCTCGGCTCAGCAGAGCTCTGCCAGGCATGTGCTGTAGGTCCAGTGGTGTCGGTTCCTCGATTGCTGGTCACAGGCTACAAACAGAATTGTGGATATTATATATTACCTCCATGAACAATGGAAGTATTGTTTTTGGCGTGTCTGTGTGTGTGTGTGTGTATGTCTGTCTGTCTGTCTGTGTGTTTGTGCTTCCGCACACTTGTAGTCACCATAACTTTAGAACGTCTTTATGGATTGTGATGATATTTGGTGTGTTGGTGGGTCGTAGGAAGACAAAGGCCAAGGTCAAATATGGGCCTCCTGTTGGCTGACCTTGGTACTGCAGCAGAACGTACGATTTTCGTCCTGAACATGCTATGGTCTTGTTGGATCATGCTGTACTTAACATGGGGACCTGCCTTTTCGTAAGGCATAATCAGTACTTCATCGTAATTCGTAATCAGTACATTATTTGACTAACGTGTAACAGTTTGTAATCATATCTGAGAATTTGTTGTACATACATGTAATTCGCAATCGGTGGTAAAAATCCAACTTACAACGTAATCATAATACTAAGTTGAGATGATGTTTTAGAACCCAAAACCTACGCCATTATGTTGTCATTTTTCTCAATCTCGCATGCAAGAATGTTTTTTTTTTGTAAAGATGTTGAAAGAAGCAAACTTACCGAGCCGTGGTGCAGCGGTGGGGAGCCGGTGTGCACCAGAATCACGTGCACCATCAGTGTTACCATGATGGACGCTATGATGATGATGAGGATGATAAAGCCGATTCTTTGGCCTTGCAGCTGGCAACAATGGCGCAGTCGTTCCCAGATGGATCGTCCTTCTTCCGCGGCGTCTATGAGAAGGAGAAAAATAATGCGTTCTTTTATAGATAGAAGCCCTTTTTTACGAAGGCCCACAACGACACTTCCACACACCTCTTCCATAGCCCTTCCACAGCGCGCTGCCAAGGGATATACCTTCCATAGCGCTCTCCGCGGACCTTCCGCGGAATTACGAAGAGCACTGGGGAAGGTGTCTGAAAGACCCCTATGGGACTCCACTCTACTACATGTACCTGTACTTTTTTCCGCATGTGGTTGTTTGGCGTAGTGGCAGAGACTGCCAAAGTGCTCGTCTCGGAGCCAAGAGGTCCCGGGTTCGAGACCTGACATGCCATCGATCTTGTGCCTTTGGGAAAGGCACTTAAAACGACTTTCCTCGCTTAATAAATGAATGAATGAATGAATGAATGAAACTTTATTTTCGTGTCGTGCGCTTTCCCGCGCCCAGCCCGTTGGTGGCGGCATTAAATAAGTTGATGTAACTTGAGTGTGCCTTCACCATGTCTAGTCATGAATTGTTGGAATATAAAAAAAATATACCTGGAGGCTGGTTCTCGCTGTCCGTCTGACCGCCGGCTGACCCGTCGTCTCCTCTCGCTGGTCTCGGGGAAGAGGGAACAGGCGGGGCACCGAGAACGTCGCGGCTCAGAGGCGCCCCGAGCCCCTGCCTGAACTCGTCGTCATTCTCGTAAATGTGTGCGACGGTTGGGTCTGGTGGGTCCCCGTCGATGGTAGTTGTTTCTCCTGGTATCGGGGGACGGGGCGCAGGATCCCCGTCGGTGGTGGTTG